GAGCCCTGAATTATTTTTATCTTATGGTGAGACGTGATCGACTACTACTTAAATGGTCACACCATATAAGAATAAGAAAAAAAAATCCCATATTTACTACTGTCGCAAGTGGACTTTCTTCTAGCGCAGATAATAATCATTAAATTGAGTAGTAATATCTTGATGGATAGACTGTTATCAATTTGAAAAAATGGAGTAACTGAGAATTTGCCAAATAATCCTCCTTAGTGAATAACAAAATTATTATTCTGAAGTTGTATTTCAATCATATATCCTGTAGAGCAACACACTGCACCTTCTTGGCCTCACGTTTTCATCTGACTTGAATTGGACCGACTACATCGAATCAATAGCTGCATCTACTGCAAGGAAAGTTGGGTCACTGTGACGTGCCAGAAGGTTTTTCTCATCAGAGTCCATCATGAACATTTACAAATCGACCATTCGCCTGCGCATTGAATACTATCGCTGTATCCGGTCTGGTTCTCCAGTTATTCATCTAGAGTTGCTTGGCAAAATCCAAAGAAGGATCTGTAATGTAATCTATTCTGACTTCGCAACTCGAGTTCAGTCACTTTCTCATTGATGTGGCGTGGCTTTTCTCAGTTTTTTAAAAAATTTTTTTTTTTACAAATATTTCCATGGCAATTGCTCCGACAATCTTTTCCTCTTGCATGAATTTAAGCGTTCCACTTGATTTGCATCTAGGTCTCACCCGTTTATTGTTGAAATGGCTAAATGCAACCGCCATTTCGACTATCACAGTTTCTTTTCTCGAACTTCCCGCCTATGGAACTCCCTTCCGTTTAATTGCTTCCTTGATAACTACAATCTTTAAAAATTTGATTGCAACGTCAATCGCCATCTTTTATCTTTTTGAAAACCGTTCATCTTTTGTCCTGTCCTTGATCCTACTCAGTTTTTTTCCTCTCACTTTCCCTCCCTGGAATCCTTTCGTACCAGTGGCATTCCCGGTTTGCTTGGAGTGAAATGATTAAAACAAGATATGCTCCGTATATAAAAGTTATATAAAACTTGATTTAACCTATAAAAAGTTCACAGTTTTTCTATTTTTAGTATTCATATGAATCGTAATTCTTAGGTTAATGACTGAATTAGCTCATGGCAAGTTCAACGACAATAAAATATTCGTAGTAATTCCACCAATGGTATCGTTTAAATATTTGAACTAAACAATTTTGACAAAATATAGCAATAGCAATATGAATGCTGGTCATTATTTTAAGAAGTGGGTAGAAATGAAAATATGATTTTCTAAGCGTCGTTTAAATGTGGCACCCCATCATAGTTGAACTCACTACTCAGTCGTAATTGTGCTAGCGAATCAAGCTTACTAACCATTATACCATATCGAAGTACCTTATGGTAGAAATGATTTCCTTTTACACTATTTACATTTTCCGGCTATTGTCCTGATCGTTATTTTTATAATCACGACGTTTCGGAGGTGTACACTCTTCAGGAGATATACGTTGGAATTTCAAATCGAACCCTTTATTGCATTCATCGAAAGAGATACTATATTCCGTATCTACGAGACTAGCGAGTTGATACGGCTCTACGGCGATAGTTCTCCCGTTACAAAAGGAGTCCTCAATCATTATGCACGAAGATTAACCTTATTTAGGAACAAGCAGAAGAAAAACCTTAATAAATTTAAAGTGTTTTGCTACTGATTTAGCATATTAGACAATTTTGAAATGGGAATTATGCGGAGTTATGTTTAAGTATTTAAATTCTATGTTTATTATTTCATTGTTTGTATGGACGTCACATTTATCCCTCACAGTGTTTGAGTTCGTTCAATTCTTGAAATGTTAATGTAATTCAAGCGTGTATTAAAATTGGTTTTATTAAGGCATTTCAATTGTATGCTAAATATAACGTGTGTTGGAAGTGAATTCATAATATTAGGTTACTTCATCAGCGAATATCTCGACTTTACATTCATCAACATAAGGTTTTATGCATATTGGGGATATAAAGAAGTGTTTCTGGAGGGTATTTATTGTATATCGATGGTTAGAACGTCCGCATTCTGTCTATAAACCCGGGTTCGAATATCAACATTGTCAATTTGTGAATGACTTCTTGATATTATTGGTTTGAAAAAACCATACAGCAAATTGACCCAAACCTTGTGAGTGAAAATAGGGGAACAGAACTTTTCGACCAATTCAGAAGTCACCTTGACCGTAGGTTTTATTCCAATGGCTCTGTTCAAGCTGCTGGTCATGCCCGATTATGTGCTCTCACCTCCCCGGTACCCCCCTCTCTCTCTCTCAGAAAAATAACTATGACCAACTCAGTTGCAGTATAAACCACAGGCCGATGCTGTGGGTGTTCAACAAACAAAAATGTGCTTACAGGGATACGCTAGCAGACAAGTATAATCGGAAATCAGGCATTATTATTATGATTTTATTCCCTTTGAATTCTACTGTATACTCAATTCATTACGGGTCCCCACCAGGGACCTTAGATCAGAAATGACATCATGACATTTTCCACTGAGCATTTTTGAAAACCCCCACCCACCACGCGATCACACACACTTTACATAGGTAAAGCTCTTAGTAAGGTGTGTGTTTTACTTGTGTGTATCATTTTTTCTATTTAAGGTACCAAGAATCCATTCAATGAGTCTATGGGAACCATTTCCAATCAATCCGACAATTCCAATTCCAATTAGAATTGTTGATATTGTTGCAGACTGGCGAATGTATTTTGAGTGATCAGAAGGATTTTTAGTGTTGGTGTTCTAAAAACATTCGTCCACAACAATTAAAGAAAGATATTAGAAACAAATCATGACGTATTCTTTCAAAACGTAACAATTGGATTTATTAAGTATTTGATATACAATGCCTGTGAACTGAAAAGGTTAGACAGAGTTGTGTCTCTTAGACTTGGTAATATTTGTACCTGAGCTCATAAAGTGAAAGTAATTATTAAACTGTAGTTTAGAAGAATAAAGTTCCTTTAGCATGTTTGGTAAAGTTGGTAAGAGTTCAGAAGAGATTTTAGAGTTCGTACTTGCGTGAATGTTGGTAATGTTCTTTAACGTCTGACTACATAGTCAAGACGGGAGTTCTTGAAAGTTACATCTTGGCAGCGAGGAATGAGACGCGAGAGAGAGTTTACACGTATTTTGTTTTTATAATTTTGTTGTACCACGTGACAGGCTTCGACTGAGTTGGCGCCAAAATAGATCTGTCACGTGGGGGTGATTTGATTAGTCGAAACTGACCAATCAGCAAGCAAGATTGAAGGTGATTAACCAATGAATGCTTGTTATATATTTTGTAAGATGGTGGTGGTGAAAGTCACACAGGAATAGTGCATTTCCTGGCAGGGGTTAACTGGCTGTTGTGGAAGATTCCACAATATCTTCATATGCGACATTTTTGAGATTTTGATTTCAAGGCCCTTGGATTTTGATAGTTTTTTTTAAGCTCTTCAAAGATAAATTAGAGTCTGCAGGGGCTACCATATTTTTGTGATATCAACAAACACTCGTTTGACACTTTTGTGATGCCAACGAATACTCGTTGTCACTTTCGTAATGCTCATTGTAGTAGAGATTTTGTAATCGCAGATACAACTTAGTGTAACGCCGTTGAACAATACTTGTGTCAGACACCTTCGAACATCACTCGCACTAATACCACTTGCTCGATAATACTCGCTCGAATAGTAACCACCGAGTAGAGAATGGCGGTTTGTATAATAATAGAGGATAAACTAGAAGTAACGATTGTTAGTCGTCAGCTACTTCCTACATATATGCGTTTACTCTATGGTCACGGGGTCTACTTAATTTAATAATGGGATCGCCTGTGTTTGCTCAAGGCGATCAATGTTCAAACTCAAGTATTGGTAGCGACACTTTATTCCTAAATATCAATAAGAAGCACATTTTGATTGTGCGGTCTCTGATCATGATATCTGGTCGATTAGCTTTGATTGTTCTGTCCGTGTATTATTATTATTATTATTATTATTATTATTATTATTATTATAATATATTTAACATTTATTAACATTCCAACTATGTGAATTCTCAGGAATAGGTTCTGTTCTGTTTTTTCTTTTTTGTTAATAAGGTAGAATTTTAAAAATAAAATTCATGGCTTGTTTTTGTCTCTGTGGTGTAGCTAAGCGCTATTTCAGGCATTATAAGCCTGGAATGGGTTTGCGCCAACCAGCTCCAAATAGCTTTTATGTGATTTTTTTATACCAGTTGTAATATTTTAAATTTATTTCCAAATGTTTTTACGGTATCCCAAAAAGCAAACATAAAAGTAAATTCGATAATCAGCTCTGTATTCTGTAGTTTATTTTGCACAGCCAAATTCTATTTATTTTTTTTTTACATTATTTATTTGTTCATTTTATTCGTTAAGATTAATTTTAACGAAAAGAAATCTAAGCAGGTTCCAGATTTTCATATGACATAAAATACCGTCTGGTTGAATTAGAAAATATTTTATGAAATGTTATAGTTGTCATAAGTCCAAGATCGTTAAACAAATAAGGCATTACGTGAGTAATGGTTTAATTTAAAAGTTGAAGTACCTGGAGTTAGAGACTATTAGCCTACTGCAGTTAGTAATTTGTAGTGCATTTAAAGAGGGACGAATTAACGATACTTGCGAGAAGCTTTGTAAGATATGTTTATTTAAAATCGTGATGTATGGTACCTTATCTATAATTGTTGTTATGTGCTATGCATGATACACGCGTAGGCGATCATGTATCTTTCGATACATGACGGAGGGGGTAGATTTTTTTCCTGCAGTAGGTTGCCATTTCTTTCTGTGGTAGACCAGTTGCCATCCACAGCTATAGAACCCGGTATGTCCTGCTATTTACCCATAGCTGGGCGGGAGAAAATGAGGATTCATACCTTTCCCAATGGTATTATCACGTCAGTGAATGTAATGGATTAGTCTGGAATTCGACTTAACTTATTTTAGTGTTCTCCACTCGTATATAGTTTGGTTGACATGTGAAGATGCATTAGCATATATTAACACTTATCATCTGTCACTCTGTTTATCTATCTATCTATCTATCTATCTATCTATCTATCTATCTATCTATCTATCTATCTATCTATCTACATATGCTAATATCTATTTGTGTGTTGGTAAAGGAATAAGAAGTTTGAGAAGGTATTATTGATGCGTTTCGTTCCGAGGTACTTCTTCTGACTGACAGGTCCATTGATTAAATGCAGTTTCATTTTGAAACTGCTTTTAATCAATATATATATATATGAAGCCTTCATATATATTGAAGTAGCAAAAGAATATACTACAAACACCGGTTACATGCAAACGTTAAAAAGTTTGCGAGGAAAGTAAATGTGTTGCATCGCATTGGACATAACATTACCGTAGAGCAGTGTTTCCAAAACTTTTTAAGCTACGGCACAACTAGGCGCAAATGTAAATATTATGGATCACTTAGCAAAATTTTCAAAGTGTATATATTTAAATGTTATGAAATGAAACCATAGATTAAAAAGAAAAAAATGAACACGTCAATATGGAATTGCTTTATTGCAGAGTTTCTATTCAACTATTTGTGCAGCTTATTTAGTGTGAAATCTGAGCCTGGTGGTATTTTTTTTTCACGATTACTTCATGTTTGGTCGAATGTGCGATAAGCAGACCCTCATTTCTTTTTCATTTGAGCGTAGTCATTCTCGATTTTTATTTTTGATGTTTAGGTACAGTTGAGAAGCCTAATTTAAATAAGAAGCAGAAAATCACAATAAAATTGATAAATGTTTTTTAGCTAAAGTAACAGATTCCTTTTGCTTTGAAATTCAAAATGGATGGGAACTGTTGAATTTTTTCTTTATGTTCATCCCTTAAAAAATACTTTTAACAAAACGAATATTAAAAAGAAAGTTTTTAAAATAACATAATCGAAGAACAGTGAATATATGTTTAATACTTATTCATTTATTCAAATATTAATGCTGTAACATTACTTCTTTCACACATCATACATACATATATACATACATGCATATATATATATATATATATATATATATATATATATATATATATATATATATATATATATATATATGTGTGTGTGTGTGTGTGTGTGTCTGTGTCGTGACAATATTTCGTGTGAACTGAAGAATATCGCGCGATTGAGAATCATGACCGTAGAGGATTTGGAAATTAATGTACTACTTCTTGTAGTAGCAATAGTAATGATGATGATAATATTTTTCACTTGCTCTCTTTCTTAGTTTTGAAGTCATTGGCTCGGCTGGTCCAACATACGAAACCATATTCAAAGAGCAATTAACGAAAAGGGACGCATTCCAGCACTTTGCAATCTTAGATGTTTATTGGCCTAAACCATCGTTGGAGAAGTGCCTGATTAACGAAGCCATTCCAGTGAGGCAAAAAACCCGATGAATATAATAACTTCTAGTCGTTGGATTATTAATATAAATAATAAGTTATCTTGATCAAAATCTAGCATCCTTTTGCATAAACAGGCGCGAATATTTTGAAGTAGGTTCCGGTCCATGCAAGGACAAAAAAAAAAAAACCCAAAAACAAAAACGAAGAGTTCGCCAAACGGCCTTGGATTTCTACTAACGCAAACCTAGTCCTTCACACAAATTCAGTCTAGCAGTATATAACACTTAGATTTTTCCTTAAAGTCAGCCTGGTAAATATTGTCCTCCTTCTCCCCCCCCCCATTCTCCGGCATATGAGTATATCAACTCCAACAAGTGCGTGGAGGAAGCTGGAACGAAAACAGACAAAGAGTAAATTTATCCATATCTTCTGACAACAGTCAGTTATACACATTTCCGATTCATCACTGATCATGCCGAAGATTTTTCTGCATTAGGCTGCCGTTTCTTTTTGCAGTAGTCTGGTTGTCAACCAAAGCTCTACGATCTCGTCTGTCCTGTAATTCAACCCATAGCTGGTGAGAAAAGATATCTTCATACTTCTCCCAAAGGTATTTACACGTAAGTAAATGTAAAGAACTATGCTGGAATTCGAACACGGCTCCGCGATTTCCATACACAGTTATAAAAGAGAATGTCACCAAGCAATCAAAGACAGAAAAAAAAAGAAGGTAACCCTTTCTCCGTCTGCGGCAGAATGTAAAAATCACACGACTGAACGATTTTAATTTCATGCGACGATAAATCCCATTAAAGTCTCAGACATGATGGGAGATTTCTTCGAGTCACCTTCTCTAGAATGGCTTCCGCTCAAGAATATAGAACCCATTATTTTCTATTATTTAATCCATTACATGGAGAAGAGGTAGAAGAGGTAGATTCGTAGCTTTCCCAAGAGTATTTGCGAGTATGTGAATATAACAGACTCAACTGGAATTTGAACTCGAATCTCCGACTTCTTATTCCGAGCCGCAATCCATTACAATACGCGCACATCCCAATCAAATAGAGAAAAGACAAAAAACAATAATTTCTGTATGTGCCATGTCCCTTGAGGTTTTAATGGCCCTCCACAACTTGAAGCCCTTAGCGATGTTTGCCTTGACTATTCATTCCTCTTTCTGTTCTGCTATCAATTTAGACGAGCTTGTTAGCTAGGTTTCTTGCTGTTACTCTTTCTTCAAAATGTCCTGTGAATATCAAATTTTTCTTTTTCCTTTTCCTGTTTCTGATTTAAGCATAAATACCCTTTTTCCATTTTCCTTAAAATAACCCCATTGTTTACATGCTTCGACCTTCGGATTCTCAGCAGTGCTCGGTAGAACCAATTCTCTGTTGTCTAAAATCTCTTCTGCATCTGTAAAGAGATTCTTCGTAAAGGAGATATAACATGGAATCGCTGTTCAGCATTTTTATCCATTTCTAATGAAATGTTTCTGTTTCGTAATACAAAAGATTTTGTCTTTTGTTAATAGTAATTTTGTTGTTTGATCGATATCAGCACGAAAACGGACAAATAACCTTATATGAGAGTGTGCTTTTTATAATATGATTATGATTGACGAAAGTATTTGAATATTATAGAAAAATACCGAACTTTGGATAATTGATTCATAACTTTAATCCCGATGTGCAACATCTCATCGGAGCACATTCAGATGCAGGCTGAGCCTTCACAGCCATCCCCGCCACCGATACTAGATGGAAGAAAAGGAATAAGGGGGAGAAGATGGCGATCGGAATGCTAAGATCCCAATGGTGATAATAAGATTTCTCGAATATTAAAGCCGGTAGACAAAAATAAATGAATATAATGTTTAATAAATAAACGCAGAATCTATCTATCTATCTATCTATCTATCTATCTATCTATCTATCTAGCTCGCTAGCTAGTTAGCTAGTTATATTTATCTATCTATCTAGCTAGCTAGCTATATCTATCTATCTATCTATCTATCTATCTATCTATCTATCTATCTATCTATCTATCTATCTATCTCGATAGCTAGTTAGCTAGCTATATATATCTATCTATCTATATATATATATATATATATATATATATATATATATATATATATATATATATATATATATATATAACCATTATTTCGTGGTACTGGTATGCTAAGGTTCACAAGAGAAGTGGGCATAAAATGTTATGTATTGCATTTGAGGAAAGAAAAAAGCTTTGTTTTGGCATTAATGAATGTTGCCTTTGTGCTTCGATATTAAAATCCGTTCTACTTCGGCAAGTATGTCAGGCCTACTTTATTATAAATCATTTATACCTGGAAGGAGGCGTAAGTAACCGTGTTGAGTGGTGACATGTGGAAAAGGCATGTCAGACTGTGCAGTCAAGCTATACAAGTTTGTAAGTGGAAATACTTGTATGTTTTTGATTTAACAACGCTGAATAACGGTAAATATGAAAAACATATGATTTTAAAAAAGATGGTACCGTGATTCTTTCTTAATGAAAAGAAAGAAACGTTGCGAATTCATTCATTCTTTCTTTATATCTATCTATCTATCTATCTATCTATCTATCTATCTATTCAGCCATTATAGTTACTTTATTGTCTTTAAACCCATTTGTCCATCTATATCTGTTCATCCCAATTCTGTTCAGACATATCTTAGTAATTTTTCTCTCTCGCACTCCTCTCTATTTCTATCTATCTATCTATCTATCTATCTATCTATCTATCTATCTATCTATCTATCTATCTATCTATCTATTCAGACATTATAGTTACTTTATTGTCTTTATACCCATTTGTCCATCTATATCTGTTCATCCCAATTCTGTTCAGACATATCTTAGTAATTTTTCTCTCTCGCACTCCTCTCTATTTCTATCTATCTATCTATCTATCTATCTATCTATCTATCTATCTATCTATCTATCAATTTTCAATACATTGGAACCTTATTTTCTTTCCTTTTGAAATCGTCCCTCGTACATCGGCAGCAACACATGTAGTCGTTTGTCGCGATAGTTTAATAATTTATTACTGCAAGGATAATTCTTTGGCAACATGTGTAGGAAACTAATAGGGAAGGCTTATTATTTTCGGTAATGTCTTTGTAGAAATCTTCTTGCCAGAGTTTATCCTTGAATTGTAAATTAATTGTCGTGAAAAAAAATGTGTCATTCTCTAATTAAGAAACAAATCCCTTTTGCTAGCCGCTGCGTCGTAGGAAACAGTTTCTTTGTAGAAAAGACAAAATTTTCTCCCAAAGACGATTTGCGAACTCTCAAAGGATGGGAAAAAAAATGAATGGAAATTTAGAATTTAATGAGACTGAAAGTAAAGGTGGGGGGGGGGAAACAAAACAATAAAAAAAGCACGGCACTAGAAAATAGAGAGTCGAAGAGGAATAGTGAACTAACATAAAAAAAGAAGGTATAGATACAACTTGAGAAAGAAGGATATATATATATATATATAGAGAGAGAGAGAGAGGGAGAAAGAGATGGGATGAGAGAGAGAGAGAGAGAGAGAGAGAGTGGAGAATAGAAAGAGAATTTGAGAAATTACAAAAAGTGTATAAAAAGAGGAAAGTATTCAGCGATAGGAAACTAGAGAGATAGATAGATAGATAGATAGAGAGAGAGAGAGAGAGATAGAGAGAGAGATAGAGATAGAGAGAGAGAGATCTAGAGAGAAATAGAGAGAGAAAGAGAACTAAGGAGATCACGTAAAGTGAGTAAAAAGAGAAAACATATTTAGCAACAGGAAAATAGAAAGAAATGAACTGAGAACGAAGAATAGAAAGTGAAATACATAAATCAGAAAAACTATTTACAGAAAGAAACTCGTTCTTATATTTTGTATTGTTCGATATATTTTCAGTCAATCCAAGTCCATAACACCCGCCTCCCCCCCCCAAAATCAAAATTACTTTACCACCAGAACTAACGCTTTAATCCACTAGACTGTTTTCTCGTCTTGTTTGGGAGTTTGCAGCCTTAAATCTAGTGATTTTCCAAGCGCAGCTTAGATGTGGCACAAGGCAGAAAGTATGTGACACCCAGTGAGGATCTAACCTGTCTGTTGAGAAGTGCTACTGCTGCTGCTGGATTAACCTGTAGGTTACCCGGATCTATATACACCTGATAATGGTCGGAGTACACGACATCGCAAACGTTGTGATTCCAACAACAAAGATTATGATAATAATCTGCATGCAACGAAGATGCAACTAAGGAAAGATCTTTATTATTATTTGTATTTATCATATTTTGCACCAGTAGTAACAAAGTGTACTGAACTGCTAAATAACATCTGGCAGTTTTTGGACCTTCGTGTCCACACACACACACACACACACACACACACACACACACACACCACACACGCACCACACACACAAAACGTAGTGTCATAAGGATGGTTTTTCCTTTGACACCGCTATTATTTTAACTACCTTCACTCCTCAAGAATGTTTATTGATTTAGAAGGCGATTATTAGGATTGTAATAAAACCTAAATTCAAAATGGATGGGAACTGTTGAATTTTTTTTTATGTTCATCCCTTAAAAAATAAAAAAATACTTTTAACAAAACGAATATTAAAAAGAAAGTTTTTAAAATAACATAATCGAAGAACAGTGAAAAAAATTATTTAAAAAAAAATGTTTAATACTTATTCATTTATTTAAATACTAACGCTGTACCATCACGACTTCCACACTCATATATACATATATATACATATATGTATGTCGTGACAATATTTCGTAGTGAACTGAAGAATATCACGTGATTGAGAATCGTGATCGTAGAGGATTTAGAAATTAATGTACTACTTCTTGTATTATTATTATTATTATTATTATTATTATTAGTAGTAGTAATAATGATGATGATGATGATGATGATGATGATGATGATGATGATGATGATGATGATATTTTTCACTTGCTCTCTTTCTTAGTTATGAAGTCATTGGCTCGGCTGGTAGTGTCATAAGGACGGTTTTTCCTTTGACACCGCTATTATTTTAACTACCTTCACTCCTCAAGAATATTTATTAATTTAGAAAGCGATTATTAGGATTATAAAAAACCCAAACATATGATGAACGTATATTTATACATTTCTGTCATTGAGAATTTACAACAAAAAAAATAAAATAAAATAAAGTGTATTTATTAGATTACAAAAATAATTTTATATTCACAACATTCTACAGATTGATAGAATTCTATTAAAACTAGTGAATTTTAAAATTTATCATTTACCAATTTATGAATAAATAAAAATTAAAACAAATTTTTATTCATCAATTTATACAAAATTACTAAATTATTAAAATATGGTTATCAACTATAAAGAAATCCTTATTATTTAGCATTTCATGAACTTTGAATCGATTGACAATTAGTCGATGTTTTGCCACCCATTCCAATAAATAATAATAATAATAATAATAATAATAACAGTAAATAATCAATCCAATAAATAAATAGTCTATTATTTTTCTTGTTAATTCTAAGGACAACGATAATGTATATATTCACTTCTTTATGTTTAGGTTTTATTAAATAAAATTCTAATCATCGCTTTTTAAAGCAATAAATATTGCCCATGAGTGAAGGTATTTAAAATAATAGCAGTTTCAAGGGAAGACCTTCCTTTTACCATTCCGTTTTGTTTGCAGGCACGAAGCTCCAAGATCTAATATTAAATCGATTATAAGAAAGTGAATGCTGTTCAATCTCTACACAGATGAACAAGAGACTTGAACCAACAAAGATGTTGTTCTACCGACGAAAGATGAGAATAACTCAGATTATCAAAATGAGCAGTGAGAAAATTGGAATTTAAGGACATGTATACTGAAAATTCAGACAGTGATAGTTTGAATTTCTGGGATACGTAATGAGGAAAGATGAATTAGAGAAATTGATACTCACGGGACTTACTGCTGAGGGACAGAGGGAAAGAGCGAGTAAGTTGACGTCGTTAAGTTTTAATATAACACAGAAAAATGCACGAAGATAGATACTATAGTAGCAGCATTAAAAGGCGTCTCTCCGTTCCCAGATTCGTTGGCCTGATGTGGCCTCAACAGACACCACCATAACGTGGCGTTGATAAGTCGTTGACCGACAAGTTGAGAACCATTCTATTTCCCATTCCCTCTCGCTTCCTTCAGAAAACGATAATAATATAGCTATTACCCCAACCACTGAAATAAAACTAGTAAAAAGAAAGTTAAAGAAAATTATCCGCTGTTCATTCAGTCTCCGATGCAGTGTTGGGGGACTGAGGAATTGTCGATAGATCATCAGAGGCCAAAGGTAACACGAAACGCAACATTCTTTGGTGATATTTTAACTGCGCAAATAATAATCGACGCGAGACCGTTTTTTTTTTTTTTAGCTCTGTGTTATTTGATAATCTAGATAGGTATCCAGGTTTTCAGTAAGTGGCAATACGTTTCCTTAAATACGATGTGTCTATTTCATTATATGACAGTATTTATCTTATGTCTTTTATATTGTCATAATTTCCCCATCCTTTTTGATTTTGTATTTTGTCCTTAACTTTGTCTTGTTATGTATAGACTTAATTCTTACTCCTATCTCTACTGCTTGACAGACAGTTCCAATTGTGCCGGATTTCTACTTATTAGACACTGAATCGCCAAAAAGTCGTTACTTTTGGCCAAATGGAAGGTTGTTCTCCACGAAAGTTCGTGAATGTTGGTTTAATGTAATTTTATTTGTGTTTTTTCTCTTCTTCTTTCGTTCTCTGTCCTTTTAGTTAATTGTTGCATATTATGTACCACATAAAAGTCGTACAGATCGTCTCCAAACTTCTGAGTTAGACCTATAACCACCGAATCGACCCCAAGACATACGGCAGGATTCCAGTGGCCCCAAACTTAGGCCTACCGGTAAATGAACTTAGGCTACATTATCTGATAACGTGTGCCAAAACAATAAAAGGTCTCACCATTTATCAGTATACTGAAGCCCTAATTGTAATATCATAATATAATTATACTATACTATAATTAGTTGTCTACATGTCCGCCTGAGTTAAACGGAGCTTTCGTATATATTTATGTATGTGTGCTATTGTCGGATGGCCGGTGACTAAAACATCTCCCCGCTCCAATTCCTTGTGAGTGACGAGGGCTTTTAGCAACTCCGTAGGATGAAAAATAAAACCTACCAAAATGTGGAAGAACTCTAGTGGTGGTGCTTGAAAAATTTACTTTGGAGTCGGCAACTGAAAACCATTCCATTATCAATGCCAAGAAATAATCATGGTTCTTGAATCCTGAAAGATAACGGCGTTAAGACGCTTTAGACGATTAGAATTAACTTATTGTCTGGTAAGGAGTGACATATACAACAGGTGGTACCTGACTGTCAACCAGCTAATGTTAGTAAAAACGGCAACAAGTTCCATCAAAATTGTCAATAGGGCATCTCTTACCTCAACCGGCAAGGGATGACATGAGTGACATATGTCATCTGATCGTCATCCAGCGACTGTTAGCGAAAACGTCATAAAGAGAATCACATTACTTGTAATTGATCCCTCGCCCGTAAGGGAAGATATGAGTGACAGGTGCCATCTGACCGTCATCCAGTGAAAACGCAGAAACGACGTAAAGGGAATCAGATTCGGTGAAACAGCCCCATCGCCCAGTAAGGGATGACACGAGCGACAGGTGTCACCGACTGTTGGTATTTAAAAAAAAAAAAAGCTCTCGGAGTGCAGGCGGAGAAAAATGACAGAAGACTGATACTACATCAAGAATTGTGTTATTGGATTCTGCCAAAATTCTGAAAGAATACTTGTCGTTAAACTCAAAGAAAAGGCTTTCAACATTTCCCTCCCACCGACAGCACATAGTACAGGAGAAATTCAAAAAAAATTATTCTACGCTAAATAAGGCCAAGGCTCAATGCAAATCACAAGAAATTTTAATCATCGTCGTAGAACTGAATACCAAAAAAAAAAAAAAAGAAATGGTGAAATAGTCGACAACTTCGGGAGGGGAACTCGTAAAGAACGTGGAGAAAAACGTGTCCAATAATTCAAAGCAAATTATCAGGTAGTAGCTTACCTGGTTTCTCGAATATCCAAGACGCATATGCAGAGACACAGGAAAAGAGAGAAAAACCAAACTGACTATATAAATATTGATATGAGATTGATGAATGCAATATACAATGCAAAAATACCCATCCTTACAGTGATATGCAAATTTAGAGCGAAACTACGGAAATTGAAAACGGTCGAGGCAACACCGAAATTATAATACTACAGACTTCTGACTGACCCGATTGTTAGGTTAAAATGTATTTACAGCGGTAAAAATAGACACAATAGATAAAATGACAATGGAAACGCGAAGTGAGACATATTAAGAAAAGCTTTAGTAACATTAACCATCGAGACGATTCTCAATGGAAAAAAGACAAAGGTAAAAGAATGGATGCCAGATGAAATTCTCGACATGATGAAAAGGTGGCAAAACCATTTCCAAGCTATGGTACGGAATATAAGAATATACACAATGGAATTAGGAACAAATACACGTCTCGCCTAAACAGGAATGGTTCAATGAAATGTCTGCAGAAATAGAAAGAATAAGTCTCAGAGATAAAACAGATATTCCTCAAAAAATAAAGAGAACGACCAGAACCAAAATCATTCTTATCGGCAGGACGAATAAAAATCAAAAAGAGGGGAAGCTGATTTTAGAGGAAGAAGAAATATTTTAGAGATGGAAAGAATGCATCGGAGAACAAAAAAACAAAAAAACAAAAGAAAAACAACCGATAATACACATAAATAACGACTGACCAGAATGGCTGAATTGAACGGAAACAAAGCAGCAGGGCCAGCCGGAATCGTAATAGAGATGCTATCAGCCTTAGACGATTTCGGCATTGATAAGATTACACATCAAATATTGAAATATAAAACAGTACCGATATACTAGAAAACCTAAGTAGATCCATATTCATAGTACTGCCTCATAAGCCAGTTGCAAACGAATGTGAACTTCATCAGACAAAACGTATTCGAATACTGATCATTATATCGCACAGAAAAAATCAGACTTGAACTAGGATGAAAAGAGTGAAGCTTCGTTAAAAAACCAGGATCAATGAATCTGATATTTATGCTCAGAATGCTACCAGAAAGAGAAACAAAAAAGAAAAAGTACATATATTAGGTTGGTGCAAAAATAATGACGTAAGAATGTCGTTTTTGACGTTATACGTCAAAAACGACATTATTACGTCATTATTTTTGCACCAACCTAATACCTATGTTTAATAGATTATGCAAAAGTGTTTGGCTCACATATAACTGTTAGAATTGCTAGGTAACCATGGTATATTTGGGAATTATATTAGAATAATCTGAAGCCTATAATGCCAGTAAGCTGCCTGCAGACATATACGAAATGAGTTCAGTAATTATACAAAAATAAAAAAAAAGATTGTAAGACAAGAATGCGTCTTCTCACCAGACCATTTCAACCTATACAGCAACGCCATTCTTAGAGAATTAGAAGTCGTATCAGGATTCATTATTGGCAACAACAATCATCTTAACAACAAGGTATACAGATGACACAGTGTTGATAGCAGAGAGAGAGTAGAAAGTACAAGAAGTCTTAGAGAATGTAATGAAAAAAAGCGAGAAAAAAGGAACTAAACCTCAATTACAAGAAGACTGAATGCATTGGTTTTAGCAAAATGACAGTCAACCATGCAAGTTACAATTTGGTAGATACCGTAATCAAACATCTTCTTCAAGTTAGATATCAGGGAAGCGTATTGAATTGTTATGTAGTTTGAGTCCTCCTATATAGCAGTAAATGCTGCACAATCTCTTCACAGATGAAAAAGAAATTTGAATCAACATAAACGTGCTTCTACAGAAAGATGCTGAGAATACCATGGACCGAATATATGAGTAACAAAAAAGTTCTAGAAATAATAGCAAGAAAAGAACACTTATAATTAACATCTGAAGAAGTAGTTGAGTTTTCTTGGACGCATAATAAGGAAGAAGGACTTTCGAAATTTGATATTCACAGAACAGATTAAAGGTAAGAGACAGACGGAAGCCAAAC